TCTCAAGATCTAATTTTAATTTAAGAGTTAGTGCTTCTGAGAAATTCTGTAGTGTCACTGGCAAAGAGTTATCTTTTGAATTTGCTCCATACCTTATTGTCACCCCATAACACCCATACTGTGTGGCATTATAATCATTTCATTGTATTCCTTTCAGAACTTGGTATCTCAACATCCAGCATAGTGTTTTGCAAATTGTATATACAGAGCACAGTAGAAGTTTCTTGAATAAGTGATGAATGCATGTTGAATTTCGTACTTTTGCTCTAGATTAATTATGGTTAGTAATCAGTGGAAGCTGATTGACAACAATCAAGTGTAATGCACTACCTAGATCCTGAAAAATTATTAATAGTAAATTGCTTCTGACATAGAGTAATGCTGAAGAAGCATTTTGAACACCATTTTAGCACTCAGGAAATGTTTTTTAATTCATTTGCTAAACTATAAAATTAAAGAATTTTTTAGAACAGTGAGATTGAAGATGCTCACTTTTATGAAAGTGAGCACAACTAATTGTGCTAAGCATAGTTTATCAGAAAAGATACCTAAGCTGATTATACTTATATAACATAGCCAGATATAATGCATTAATTATGTCTTTGAAAGCATTTACCAATGTTTTCATCTCTATGGTTTTTTCCCCTCTGGGAAAATGATTTCTCAATCATTTTTCTTTGTTATTGTCTCTTTCTAAATGGCTTACACATTAGATGGGAAGTCTGCAATAAATGTTAACTATTATTAGCAATATTAATATTCTTAGTAAATATTTATTTGGGAATCCAAAGTCACATATAAAGATGTACATTTCAGAAAGGATTAAAGTTGGGGGATTAAACAAAAACTATGAAATTTTGGAATTTCTCAATTTGAAAAAAAATCTTTGGAATATCTTATTAATAAAAATTACCCAATTTAAAAAATATGATGCAGAGTATTAGGGGAATTCTTCACCTCCCAGGGCTAGACAGCCATTTCTTCAGAAACTCCATTTCCTGTCAACAACAGAATTTAAAGTTAAACTTCTAATATGTAAATCAGATCATTACTATGCCTTTTCAAATGTATAGAATTCAAAATTAACCAATTTTATCATTAGGATTTGGAGAGAAAAGATAAATAGTAGGAACTCATAATGTTAAAAAATGACTTTGTTGGATTGGGATTGTGGCTCAGAGGTAGAGCACTCACCTAGCACATGTAAGTGAGGCACTATATTCCATCCTGAACACCACATATTGTATCCACCTATAACTAAAAAATAAATGTTTTTTTAAAAATGACTTTGTTAATTATGACCTAAAATATTTTAGTAAGGATATAAAACAATAGTGGAAGACTTCCTCATTCATTTGTGCTCAGTTTTGAAAAATAGTTTTTCTCAATTTTTACTCTTCCAAGATGTATTGCCTTCGTTGTTTTTGAACCTTCCATTGTGTAAAGGCACTGTATTCTGGTTTTACCCTTTATTCATATTGCTTCTTTATGACAGTATTCATTAGTACAAAATCAGTCAAATCTTCATAAAATGGCTTAAATATAGCTACAAGTTTATAAGAAATAATGTCTTGATGCATCGATAGCAAATAAATGATTAAAAATGAAATTTAGAAATACTGTTTGATGACTTCTTCATCAGATCAACTTATTTTTGTGTGCTATTATGAGAGATTATGATTAGATTACACTTTAAAATACAAGGACTCAGTGAGCTCAGTGATTCAGAGACAGCATGTGGCAAATTGTCAAAACCTTTGCATCTGCTTTGATGTGATAATTCATGTTTGACTTAAGAATGTAAAATACAAGTGTTAATCCAATAGTGAAAAAGTGACTTAAAACTAATTTCTTAACTTGCTTATCTGTGTGAGACCTCAATTTGAATAACTGTTATTGAAATACTGGTTTTTCTTATTTAGTGTTTTGGACATAAAATATAAATAATAACTAACATTATTGCTACATGTTCCTACAGATGAAAATGATAATATTGAGATAGATACTAACGAGGAGATTCCTGAAGGCTTTGTTGTAGGAGGTGGAGATGAACTTACTAACTTAGAAAGTGACCTTGATTCGCCCGGTAATTTCAAATTGTTTTGTGTCCTGCTGCATGGCAAAATTTGTGGTTATATTTTTATTATCTCAATAATACTAGGTCCATTTTATAGTTTTATTATGTTTTATATGATAAGTCATTTAGCTAAATCTACCTTCCATTAATTTTACATTATTTTGTTTTAAGTTGAATGTTAAAATAGAAATAACATTAGAATAACAAATTATAGCTTATGTTCTCTTATTACCAAGATTCACTGTTATGTTTTATATGAAACAGTTTATAAGTGTTTGATAACTGATTTTCTTTCCTTCTTAAATATTTTGGTGTGCTGTTATATGATATATATGGAATAATCCAAATGTAAATCTAAAACATAGATCAGATTTTTCTGACAATTGCGAATTGATAGTTCTTGTTATAATATTGTTTTGAAAATGTTATGCTTACTTTAAATGTTTAAATATATTACTAATTAATTACTTTATACATACTTAATTGACTACAATACGACACTGAAAACTAATCATGTAGACTACTACTAAATTAATCTCATCAGTAAGTCAGTGGCAATTGATCTTTGTAAGTTCTTGTTTCAAATACAAAAATAAGTTCTAATGGTTTCTAATAGGTTAGTGTTCTATCTGCATTGCCTTTATAAGCCAGCAGCAAGTAACAATCCAAAACTTTGTATACCCAAGGGGTTCCATAAATACTTATTGAATTGAATTCTTATGGCAAAAAAAAAAAAAAAACTCTTTGGTAATATCTTTAGATTTAAAGATGAGGAGACAAAGTCCTTGATAATTATCTTTCCTATAAAAGCTAAAGGGAATGACAGCAGGCATTCTTTTTCCCACCTTTAGCATGCCTCTGCAAAGCTTACCTGCTCCTTCCCCTGTTTAAAATCATGCTATTACTTTTCCAAGAAACATTTGACCAGGATTTTCCTAACTGTAAGGAGCACTTGAGATGATCCAGACCCTTTTGTCAGAAGCTCTTTCATGGCCCAGTATTAAATGATGTTATTGCTAGATAGAGGTCAGTATGTTTATAATTGTGCAAGTCCAAGAGAATTCTGATATTTTAAGGATATTTTTCAAATGTTTAACCCAAAATTAGAATGACCTTTTACTTCTTTGTTAACTACTGTAGAAGTTGGGTAGGTTTGATTGTTGCTTTATGAAAACACTTTTGTTGTTGTTTGCCTATCCTACTATTACAACTACCACCAAAGGCTTTATTAGAAACTAATAATATCCCCGAACTGCTAATGACATCCGTAAGTACAGAATCAAAGCCTTAACAGTCAATGTGTGGAAATGTAAAATTAATGCCAATAAGTAATGCACGTCTTTATTTTACAATAGATTATGAAGATAGGAAAAATTAACCATCTCTTAAATAAAGTGAGGAGAATTTATAGTTTCAGCTATTACAACTTTGTGGGATACTTTTTGCAACCTGGTTAATTTCAATCCTAACAGTCTTGACCCTTGCATTCTCAAAAGGGTCTCTTCCAGCCAGGCACAGTGGCTCATATCTATAATCCCAGCAACTTGAGAGGGTAAGGCAAGAGGATTGCAAGTTCAAGGCCAGCCTTAGCAATTTAATGAGACCCTGTCTCAAAATAAAAAATAAAAAGGACTGGGGATAAAACTCAGTGGTAGAGTACCCTTGGGTTCAATCCCCAATACCAGAGTAGGGCAAAATTCTCTTCCTACTTTATGCCAAAAAAGAAAACACATCTCAATCCTCTTGTTTAGACTTAATTAATATATTGTTTACAGCTCTTAAGCATTCTGATAAGTATTGGCATGTGCTTCCCAGTTGAGATCTGTGGTTTATTTTATGGCAATAAGAAATAGGAATGCAACCTAGAATCTGGAAGCGTGTAGAGTATATTATGATTTTTATCCTTGCTTTTTTCCCCAAAATTCTTTTCTTAACTTGTATATAAAAGTCATAGTGTTTTAATAATAAATTGCTTAATCTTTATCTTGATTTGACCATAGTTCATCAGATATTGTTTAAAAAAGAAGCCTGGTAATATAAACTTGCCAATTTGCATGAAAGTATGATAATAGCATTTATTAAGAGTATTATAATTAGAAAAGTTATTAATCTGTATGAAAAATATCACTCATCAAATGGTCGACATTTCTTTTACAACCATTTTATTAAAGAATTGTTTTGTGTGACTTTGTCAGAATAGAAATATTTGTGTTTCTACTGAACTATTTCATTATTAAAGATTAATGTAATTATCAATAATAATTTGAAATTGCTTAAGCTTCTATCTATATTTAATACATTCCAGAAATGACAATATTTGTTATATTTCTGCCATCTAAGTAGAAGGTATTTTTAAGCATATTCCCTGTGTTAATGCTGGGTACGTATGTACACACTTAAATATTATATTCTAACAGTGTGTATGTGACTGGGATCATGTTAAAAACTTATTTTAATATGATATTATATGTATACATGTAACATATTTTAAAGAAATAGTAAAATCATATAATTTAAAATCAAATGTATCTCTTCTTTGAAATATCTAGTTTGTTATTTTTATTGTATATAATCTATACAGTTACTTATATATGTATCACATATACCTTAAGTTTTCAGGTAAGCATAGCTATTAAACTGTAGTATAACTTAGGTATCCTTAGATATGTTGACTATATTCCTTAAGGGAAATGATTCGTGAGAGTGAAGTGTGTATGTGTGTGTGTATACACACACACACACACACACTCACACACAGAGGTCTGCATGTGTCTAGTGTGATGTGTTACCTTGCACCCCTAATGTCCTTTTTCTTTTTTTTTTTTTTAAATACAGTAATGTTTTTATGCTGTCACCTAAAGTTGGTAGCCTGCACATCTAAATACATCTCATTTGTTATTCATGATCTTTTTATATTTAACAGAACAAAATAGTAAGTTGGTGGACTTGAAGCTGAAGAAGCTCCTAGAAGCTCAACCACAGGTGGCAAATTCATTCTCCAATGCTGCCCAGAAAGCTGGAACTGAGAGCTCAGAACAAGAAATTAAGGTAATCTTACTTATTTAATATTTGGCTTAATATCCATATATTCTGGTTTCTACTGATACCTTATAATCCTAAAAACAATTTCTTATCAAATTGTTCTCATTAAGTTATAAAAATTTTTACTAACTAGCCAATAAATTGAACATCAATATGATAATCAGTGCTTTTATACTGTTTTTCAGAGAAACTCCTTCTTTTAATTGCTATTTCCAGTAAAAGTAGAGAGTACATAGAAACAGTTCTTGAGTTCTGTATGTATTCATATTTTGCTAAGAAAAATGTTGCCTAGAAGATTGTAGAATACTTTTCTATCATCTTCAACTTTCCTTCTGTTTAAATGAACTAGAAATTACATTATTTATAAGAATCCATCATACCTGAAGATGCTGACATGTATTGAATGTGTTTAAGATACTTACATGTTTTGTGCCATTTTTGAATCTTACTTAATATTGCATTTTAGCCAAAATGCCACATTATAAGAATATTGTTATTATCTATATTATCCCCATCCACACATTCCCTCCTTTTCCTCACAATGTATCATTAATATTTTTTTCTAGCTTTAGGGCACTTTCAGTCCTGTATAACTTTTCACCCACCTGCGGACTATGGGGATTGCCCTGCTGACTGAAAGGATTTCCTTCCCCTGACACAGAGATGCTTTGAAGTCCCAAAACAATGACTTTCATTGCTTTTCCCCTATATTGTCGGTTTCTATAAATTGGTGATGAAAGTGTGTGGCAGCAACAGAGGACTTTTGGTCTCTGTCTTTGAACAAAAGGAAGCCTGGATCAGGTCTGATTTTTTGCGTTCAATTTAGCTTTCTGCAGTGGATTTAATGCAGAATGAAGCTGGCCTAAGAATAATACAATGGATTGAAAAGGCTAACTGAATTAGTGGGTTTAGAGGAATACATTTGTAAAGTGGCAGAAGTCCCTAGTCATAAAAAGGTTTCTTAAGATGGGATTTACTGGCTAATCACACTGATATTTTAGCATGTTGCCAGGCCTAAAAAAATTTAGCTGTGTTTGTTTATTTTGGTAAAGACTTGAGTTTTACACTATTGGATAGTTACTATAATAACAGTAAAATTCACATTTTTTCTTAAAAAAATCAAAAGGAAATCCAAACTTATTTGTATCCTAATTGCTAGGAAGGCTATTTTAAGGATGATACTACAAGAACTATATCAGATAACTTTTAGAAAAGAAAAGAGAGGTATTTTTCTTCTTATGGTTTAATCATCTACATACATGAAATTGGTTTGCTTTCCAAAAAGCTTATGTAGTAATTTTTAAAGTTGTTCCAAAAAAAAAGGTATGCTTTAAAAAGATTGCCTTTATATGAATCTTTTTACCTAAGATTTTGAAAATGGTATTTATAAAAAACATATAGAGTCCATCTGTTCTCTTGAAGCTTTTCAGCATTGATTTGGGTTTTTATTTTTGTAATAAAATGCAGTTTACACATTTATAAATGAGGCATTCTGTTTGTGGAAAAGGATAAACTGTTACCTTCCCTTGAGGATTCTGTATCCCAGGCCTCCTTGAGGCTAGAGAATAGGCCATTGGAGGGCTCCCTCATTACTGATTGTCTCAATGCAGAGGAAGGGCAAAGTCTTGGTTGCTTTTGATAACCAGTTTCAGCATTCAGCAGGCTTAGCTATTAGTCATGCATCTTAGCCTTTCCCTATTTACTTTCAAAACACTTAATAAAAATAATAAAAGATTAGGTATAAAATGAAATATTTGTTTGGTACACAGCACCTCGGTATCTGCAGCTTCCACACACTGCAGTGGTTCAGTCTTCTGGGATATTTCTTGTTGATAGAACCATTTGAATTTGTTACCAGTATTAACATAGGAAGCTCCAGAAGAGATAATTGTAGTTTCCTTAGCTGTAAAGGGCTTACTTACAAATCTGGCTTTGGAAAGTTATAGCTGATGAAATGCAGTTCAGTGAGGTAGTATTATAATCCTACCTTTTAGCCTTCATCCAGCATTAGTGGTTTATCTCAATGGGCATAAAATTAGAAACTATTTTTTCTTGTCATACAAGTCTTAGGACTGTACAAATCGAAGGGGCAGAATAGTAGAGGAAATAGGAGGCAACGGGGCTTTCAAATGATACCTATCACCAGAAGACACAAGAGTTCTTAGTATCTAATGTATCAAAGTTATCAAGGATTTGGACTATTTGGACTAAATCCCAAATTTTTTATTACAGGCAGTTGAACTTGTAGTTGAGCTATTTAGAGTATTTTAAAATCCCTTTTCTTCAAAGAGTTTCTAAAGGTTCTAAGTCAGCATTATTGTCTTAAATTAATAAAAGTTGCCATCTTAATGTGTAATTTCGTGTTTATATGATTAGTACTCTCATACAATTTGTTGTTTTACTTTTAGAATGGCACAGAAGATCTCCGGACTGAGCGATTACAAAAAGCAACAGAACGTTTTAAAAATCCTGTTTTGTTCAATAAGGATTCTACAGTCAGAAAAACTCAGCTTCAGTCTTTCAGTCAATATGTTGAGAATAGACCAGGTAGGAACACTTTTTAAAATGTTTCCAATCTTATGATTTAGTAGTAGTTATACACATACATACATATGTGTGTGTGTGTGTATATATATATATATATATATATATATATACACACACACACACACATATATTATGAAGCTGATAATGTAAATCCACATTTCAATACACAAATATCAAGCTTTATAATAATTTTACATGTCTCTTCCCTTTTTTTAAGAGATGAAAAGGCAGAGATCAATACAGGAAGATACAAAGAAAGGAAATGAGGAGAAGGCAGCGATAACTGAAACTCAGAGGAAGCCATCAGAAGATGAAGTGCTTAATGTATATTAATTTTTTGTGTGGTTTCATGATTGCTGATAATTCCAAACTGTATGTGGAAATAGTGCCTTTATTTGTTAAAATGAGATGTTAGGTTTTTTAAGATGTCAATCTCCAGTGCATTCAAAGCAGAGTGAGAGGGGTGCGCTGTTGAATTAGTCTGCAGTGTGGTGATAATTGTCAGATAAAAAAAAATGAATTTTTCAGAGTTCCACAGCCCCAGCTTCCTTGAGACATTTCCATCAGGGCACTTCCCATAAAGAGATTCCAGTATTGATCTACCGGGAGGATTTTAATTATTACAATAGCAGATACCGCAGAGCTGCAGTTAGAGGGAAAAGTCACATGAGACCTGCTAGAATTTCTCAGCCAACCCATTTTGTTGGCTTGGGTTAATGGGTGTTCAACCTTTCCATTATCCAGATCAGCCGTGAATTACTAGCTGAATGATGTTTGCATTAATATAATATATATGGTAATTTCTTCACTTAATTAACGGGGAGGTTCAGCTCAGTAGGGGTATGGGCTGATCATGTGTAAAATTGATTTGTGAGGGAAATATTTGATAGACCGCAGGGAGAAAGCTGCTTTTGATGGACAGCTGCAGGACAGAAGCAGGAAGAACAAGTTTTAACTTGAATTTTTGTCTGGAAACATAGCTCTCTTTAATGGTACTTTCTTATTATCTACAGTTTGTCTAAACATTTTCATTATTTTTATTGTTAAAATAGTCTGTGGGATTTTAAAAGCCCTATAAATGCACTCAGAATTACCAACTGCATTTTACAATTCTAAAAACTTCTCATTTTCAGTTATTCACCTTTAGAAGACCTGGAAAGGTCTAAGTACATAGAATATCACTTGTATATCCCAAGTATTTGGTATAGCTTTTAAGTTATGGAATACTTGAGTATAGCATATAAAGAAAATAGCACACTAAAGAAATCTGGTAATGAAATTAATTACTATTTTTAACTAATCAGCTAAAGCAATGAAGTTTGTATGTTGCTTATCACTTATATTTTCTTATATTTTTGTTATTCGTATTGTCTTGAAAAACTACCATGTTTGTTTTTTCTCTTTGGATAGGATTGAAAAATAAGAAAAGTCCCTTTTGAAACTGTTCTGCTGTCACCAAATCATTCCAGACTTTAAAGTTATCATTATCATTTATTCTGTTGTAATTTTTCTATTCCATTTCATATTGAAATCGAAGTATATTCATTTTTTATGGATCTTTTTAAAACACAGTGACTTTTTTAAATGAAATTATCTTGAGAAGTTATCAGTTTTATGATTTCTTAAAATATTTCACCTTTATATTGGTCAACTCCCATAATCAATTTAACAATTAGTTGGTATAAATTGATTTTACATGTAAGTACAAATAATTTACTAGTTTAGAAGGTGTCAAGCTATTATTAGCGTTAGATATGTTTATTGATTATGAGAATTACACAATATGCTCATAATTAACATAATTCTTGATTGTGCTTCTTGCTTAAGGAATACCAAAAGATAATTTCTCATTGTGTCTTAGAGATTAATATGCTTCTAGGCATGTGACAGAAAATTTTACACATTTATCTCAATGAATAAATAATGTTATAAGTGCTGATAATAACAGTGGTGGTAGTGAGCATAATGACTTAAGCAGTTCTTTAGTTATTCTCAGTTGCTTAGGCTTCTTAGCTCTAGAAAAGTAAAAAAGTAAACAGGTGTTCCAAAGGGAGCTCATATTTAATCCATTTTGTGGCAATACCATAAATAATAATCCAACCCATAATGACTTAAATTTCTAATATAAAAATAAAAATTTTTACTATATTGACTCTTTCCAATAGAGCTGCTATATTTCAAATAAAACTTTTAAGAAAAAAATTTTAACATGAATGGAAAAGTAAATTTTTGAATTGAAATCCAAATTTGGCTAAATAGAAGATTAATCAAATCAGTATACTAGTTGCATTAAACCCTGTGTAGCAAGGTTTGAAACCACCTGTCAGGTTAGAATTTATAGCTTATAAGAATTAGTAACAATCAAGAGAATGACATGTTTAAATACAGAAGCTATTGGCAGGAAAACTGGAGATACTGCATCTTCTTTTATCATGTTTTAAAATTATAGTCCCAATAAAAGCAAAACAAAAATCTTTTTAATTTTATGTTTTATAGAGCAACTCTGGTTTCTCTCAGAATGATTATTTTAAAGATCAATTTTTTAGTAAAGCTCTATTTTTGCATATTACATTTTTTTTCCTCTTCTTTTCTTTAGTAGTCACCAAAGGGAAAATTCTCTGCTGTCCTTGTCCATTCCTAAATAATTCTGACTTAACTCTAAGGATAATTTTTAAACTTAGTATTCACTTTTTAAATCTTGCAACTCTGGGTGTGAAATTATAAGTATAATACTAAACAGCTAAAATGTTCTCTATTTACAAAAGTTTGGTATATATAACACATGAAAAATTGCTAAATCACAGGGATGGAGTTGCTTTTTGCTACTAAGGGGTAATACTATGGGTATATTTGGTTCTCTAGGTAAGTGCTTTACTAAGTGTTTGTAGAAAGGAAAAATGCAACTTACAAGTGATTTTTTTTTTCCTTCCTGTTTGTTCTCGTTAACAGAAAGGGTTCAAAGACACCAGTCAGTATGTTGTAGGAGAATTGGCAGCACTAGAGAATGAGCAAAAGCAAATTGACACCCGTGCCGCGCTGGTGGAGAAGCGCCTTCGCTATCTCATGGACACAGGTACGGTGCCCAATTACACTGTAAACAGTTTTGGCAAATTGAGCGTTCACAAACTCTTATAGAGTTTTGGAAGTGTGAATCTTTGAAGCCTGAATGTTCAGCAAAACTGCCTTGAAAATAAAAAGGCTGCGATTTGCAGCCACCTCTCTGGGCCCTGGTGATAAGAGTGCCTTCATGGGAAGTGATAACTCGCCCTGATACCGTGTGAGCCAGCACTATTGAACAGTGTGCTCATCCATGCAGAGTTGGAATACACATCTGTGCCTCATTGATATGCCACTGGTTTAAAAAAAAAAAAAAAAAAAGTAAGATCTTTACTGTTCTACTGATTCATTGGGAAAAAAAAAAAAAAAAAAAAGATTTGGCCAGCTAAAGCCATGTACTGCATGAAACAGAGCACTGTGCATAGGGGATGGCTCCATGGACTAGATCACTGAAATTTGAGAATACTATCTGGTTACTGATGCTCCACAATTTTTTTCAAGAGAACAGGTTTTTAAAAGTCTGTAATACTTTGTGTCACAGTTGCATTTGAAAGGATTAAGGTATATATAGCAAGGTTTGTAAAGATGGGTTAGAGCAGCAAGTTAGCTCCTAACCAGAGGGTAGATTGTCATTTAATGCTGATTGCCAATGATGATTGAATAGATCTAAGAGCACAGTAAGCTATTGGAAAAGAACACTGTGTGTGTGTGTCTGTGTGTATGTGCGCATGCATGTTTCTTTAAAATTCTGCTCCTACAAAAAAAAATAAAATGCGAAATAAATTGAAATAATTCATACCAAATTGAAAAAAAGTCAAAAAAAGCAATTAACTAGAAAAAAATCTATTTCTATAATTAATTGCTTTAATTGTGGCAGCATTAAACTAGAGTAGCATAATTTAGGATGGAAATACTTTCTTGAACTTTTTCTTCTGTTTTCCAAAAATATATTTATAATGAAAGAACTCCAGAAGTAAACATTTATGTGAGATATATGAAAATACATATATTACTGAAATAAAAACATACTACAGGAAGGGGTCTTAGGTTTTCCTGGCCCAGTACATTTTAGACATGTTCTTTGGAGGGCCAAAACTTCTTCAGAGGCACCTAGGAGCTGCCAGGAAAATAGGGAGCAGAAAGACGACATACATCTGAATTTCTTTTCTTACTTTAAAGAGAGTGGCTTGAGTGTATTTATTTGAAATAGTGGGCTTCTTGAAACAATTAGTTTAAAGAAAAGTTTCTACTGCTTAAGTTTTTTAAAAACTTTTTTCTAGGAAAGCTGTTACCTAATCTTGTCATTGTACAAGTAAGGAGACTGAGGTACAGCAAATGCTCAAGGTTATATAGATCACCAAGTGGAACACCTTGGAGTAGAATTCAGTTACCAGAATCCTATTGTACAGGAACCTTCCCACTGTGTCAGATTACCTAAACTATGTTTATTATTTCCTTAACAAGGTACATGGATGCCCAGTGTTGCCCATGAATATATACATTGTATAGATGCAACATGGATCCATAAACCAATATATTGCTTTATATTTGAATTTTTTCCTTTGATTTATGAAGAGTTTTTAAAATATTAGATATGTTAGCTATATAAAAATGTAAATACCACATTATTATCCCAGCAGCTCTGTAGGCTGAGGCAGGAAGATCCCAAGTTCAAAGGTAGCCTCAGTAACTTAGTGAGACCCTGTCTCAGAATAAAAAATAAAAAGGGCTGAGCTTTGGATCAGTGCTTAAGTGCCCCTGGGTTCAATTCCTGGTATCAAAAAAAAAAAAAAAAAAAAAAGTAAATACCAGATAATATAATTTCTGTAATACATTCTTAAGTTATTTTCCTTTAAACATTTTAAGGAGACAGATTTCTTTTTGGTGTTAAGTTTGTTTTTGATTTTTTAACAAACGGAAGTAGACTGCCTTCCTTGATTATATTAAATAAATCAGATGTTACTATTCAAGAAACCTTGTGCCACTAGTAAAAAAAGTTAGAAATGCAATTTCCTTTTCTTATTTCACACATGGAGCTTGATTTATTAAGGGTTTCAACCAAAATAGACTCAAGTTTTCCATCCCAACCCACACATCACTAGTGAAGCTTTCATTTGGCTCATTTCAACCTTAGATAGTTTATAATCTGAAAAACAATCATAAGCTATAAATTGACCCTAGAACTCCATGGGAACTGTTGTATTCCTTAGTCCAAAGGACAGAATCATTTAAGAGAACCTCATTAGTAAAGGCAGAGTCAGGGTTTGATCTTGGGTTTTTAGGTTTTCTAACTATTTACTCAGGTCTCTTTCCCTACCATGTCTTTTGTATTTTATCTGCTATTTAAGATTTGATATATTTATAGGTAACTGATTATATTCAATCTTTTTACTGATTTTAAAGTCAAATACATAAAATTATTATATTAGTTGAAACCATACAACTCTACAGCATTTAGCACATTTACAGTGTTATGTGATCACCACCACTATACATGTCTAGAGCTTTTTCATCACCACAAATTCTATACTCATTAAGCAGTAATTCTCCATTTCCTCCTCCTCTGATCCTTAGAGAAACTCTAATCTACTTTCTGATTCTGAATTAACTTTATTCTAGATGTTTCATATAAGTGGAATTAAATAATATTTGACTTTTGGTTTGGCTACTTTCACTTAACCTAATGTCTTCAAGGTTCATCCATGTTGTGGCATATACCAGTTTATCATTCCTTTTAATGGTTGAATAAATTTATATATATAAATAAATTTATATATAAATATATACACACACATATCTATATATAAAATGCATATATATATCACATTTGTTTATTCGTCTGTTGATGTACAGTTGGGTTGTTTCTACTTTTGAGCTACTATGAACATTTGTGTATAAATATCAGTTTGAATCTGTTTTCAGTCTTATTGGATATATAATATACCTAGGATTGAAATTTGTACATCGTATGGTAATTCTGGATCTCCTCAATTATAAATGATTTGTGAGGTTTATTTATAACTCATAATACATTTTCCAAAAGAAACCCTGTTATAAGTGTACACAGAGCAGACTAACACACAAAAAAAACTATTAATTCAAAATATAACTAATACTAACAGTTATCCTAAACTTGAGTCCTAGGTTCCTAGAACTTGAGCAACAGTAGGTTTAAAGAACCACCTGTTTGACATTGAAGAACTTGAATCCTGAGGTAACAGGGAAGGAGACAGCCTGAATGGTGGCCTAGACTACTAGGCATTTCTCATGACAGGAAGCTGTAGTAAGAAAGTAGGACCCTCAGTGGATCATGCAACAAGATGAGGAGGTGTCAGGTACGAGAATAGCAATAGCTGGAGAAGGACATCAGTGGCAAAGATAGAGCAAGTATGAGGATTTTTATGTCAAATTCCTTCTGAATTTGCTGAGTTAATCCTAAATCACTGAAATCTCAATAGCAATAGTCTTCATGTATGTGTGTGTATATATTTTTTCCTCATACACTAATGCTTCAAGGCATTATTTTCTGCCATCCTATCTTGATCCCTATAAAATCTTTATGCAAATATTAGAAGATTGTTTTCCATCAGCTCTTAATGGCTTCTCTCTGTGTATGTACATGGGTGTAATTGTTAAGGACTTTTTTAAAGTTTCTAGTTCCTAAAGTTTGTGATGATTACTACTTAGGGAAACTTATTACAAATCTATACTATGTATGTTCCAGGATGACACTTTTTGTATGTAAGTATAGTGCTAAGGGATCTGTGCCAGCAATGCTGTAACCCTCAAAAAATGCAGTTTACAGTGGAAACACTGACAGGCCCTTTTACTGTGGTGCCACAAGTCATGTTACTATGATGAATGGTGTTTCTTTTCCACTCCCAGTCTGTTTTCTTTTGATGGTTATCAAACTCTCTTACTGTTCAGCTGGAAGTATAGCTCAGTAGTAGAACGCTTGTCTAACTGTACAAGGTCCTGGGTTCAATCCTTAGTACCACCAAAAACAAACAACAACAAAAAACAACTTACTTACTGTAGAATTGTAGTGTTTTAATCTAATGATTTTTTAAGTCACAATACTTTATTTAATTCATTTTGAGTATAAAAATTAAATATGGGAGGTTGCAATAAAATTGTATCTTACAACTTTATAACCTTTGAACACACAGTAACCTGATTGCCTCCTTAAGTCCCAGGCCAAAAATACTGATTCCATAGCTTTTTGTAGAGTATTTGCTCCAAAAACCCAACTGGACATTTAAAAACATTAAATATACTTTGGGGTATATGGAGTAAAAGAAATCTTTCTACTTGTTCTTCAGAATTTTTGTTTACCTCTTTCTTTGAGGAACCACATGTAATATTATTAAAGCTGCTTTAAAGAAGGGAACAGAGCACATATACTAAAGTAAAATTTATAGGAATTTTACTAGAAACTTTCCCCTTCAAATCTCCAAAATTATCTTTTATCTTTACGTAAAGATGACAGTGATGGCTAATATTGATTGCATGCCAAGTCTTCGTGTGTGTGTGTGTGTGTGTGTGTGTGTGTGTGTGTTCCAAGCTGACACTTTGTATATAAGTATAGTGCTAATGGATCTGCATCAGCAATGTTGTAACCCTCAAAAAAATGTAGTTTACAGTGGAAACATTGATAGGCCCTTTTACCATAGTGCTACAAGTCATGTTACTATGATGAATAGTGTTTCTTTTCCATTCCTATTCTGTTTTCATTTGATGGTTATCAAACCATATGTGTTTGTGTGTGTATTGTGTGTGTGTGTATATGTATATGTATATGTATGTATGTATGTATATATATGTGTGTATATATATATATATATATATATGTATATATATGGAAAATGCTTTATATGCATCATTCTCTTGTTTCTCAAAGTGGATCTGTGGAAGATTCTCTTAACAACCAGGACTATTAAGAATCATATTTATTGTAAAGAAAAGTGATTTTAAATTTGTACAAAATATAAGATTCAAAGCCAGCCTTAGCAACTT